GTCTTGTCCATTGATTTCAGATTGTGTTGTGGACTCGGCTGATTGTGGTCAGATTTGTGTCCACTAACTCTTTCTCTCTCTCCTCCATCCATCCATCAGCGCCTCCATTTCTCCCTTCGTTCGGCCCACTCTCGCTCATCCACCAACAGAAACAAGCTGATACTGAACGGGTCGCAGCTGTTTTCACCTCCAGAACCAGAAAACCTGCAGCTACCTTTCGATTCACACCATTGAATACAACCAGGACTATAAGGACACAAAGACCTGCCACATGTTCAGCACTTTCAACTGCGTATGGAAGTCTGAATCGAACCGAATCGTAAAACTGCAATATGTCATTAAAACATCTTCATTTGAAATGTCATTTAAAAGATGCCCTTTTTGCACCAGACTGTGTACAAACAGGAAACAGGAAGAAAGAACAGCCACACGGAGGGTTTTGGCTGAACTGTTTCCACAGATGTACAGAAAGTATGGAAACAAACTAAACGTAGACATATAAAGAAATCTACAGTATTTAAGTTACATTTCTCTCCCCAGTGCTGGTGATTAATGTTGTACGTGTTGGTTTCAGGGTTTTTCATTTAAACTGAACCAAATCTAAGCTTAAAATAACATCGAATCAAAAATCTACTTGTCTCGTTTACAGATTCACCAAAGACAAACCGTTTGTGCTCAACAGAGTCTGTAAAAAACATTCCTTCATGCAATCAGGAACTGATTCAACTCCGACCAACCGTCATGTGATGGAAATTCTGAGAGTTTCAGGTGAACTGCAGTCAGTGTTTCCTCAGAGAGCCTGAGAGGAACATCCAACCTCCTGGATCAATGAATAGATGCAGCACGGATCAGAACCAGAGACCAGAGGAGCCAGTTGGTGGAGATACATTCATCTGATGGTGGACCATCTTTCTCCATCTGATGGTGGAACATCTTTCTACAGCTGGTGGTGGAACATCTTTCTCCATCTGATGGTGGAACATCTTTCTACTGATGGTGGAACATCTTTCTA